CTTCACTTTAATGTGACTACTAGATTTCAGAGGGATTACTGAAAGTTAAGTGTGTGCATAAACCTTTGTAGTGACATCCATATGATAAACTGCATTTTTCTTATGCTTTTGACCACCTCCCCTGCACTCTGTCCACTAATCCATTTGCCTTCTAATATTTCAAAACTTGAGCATCTCCAAACAGCTGCCACTTTATTTGTAATTTACAGAGCCTAATTCTTCCTGAAATATGGAATTACCTTCCCTAATGTCACATATCTGTAGTTTGATATGGTTGTATATTCTTGGGCAAGATCTGAAAAAGGTGGGAGGCTGTGATGGCTATAGAGGTGTCTGTTTGCACCTCCTTAGGCATGGCTATCAGAGAAGTATCTTGTTGCATTTGTTGGGCAGTTCTGAAATCCCATTAAGAGCACCCAACCTCTTGTCCCTATTTTAAAGGAATGCCATAACTGCACTGAAAATGCCCCAAACAGCCATATGGGTAAAAAGCAACCAACCAAACAACAACAAAAATGCTATAGCCACCCAAGCTGCTAAATTCAGTGACATAAGCTTTTGAAAATGTTAGCCTTCAAAACTACAGCCTGATTTCCTTTGTTAAATAGACAAACAAATACATTGATACAGATGCCATCTTTTTTTCCACCTCCATGGGAGAACAAAGATTTTTGTTTGAAGCTCTACTGGTTGTTTGTTTTTATATATATAAATGGATATGTCAAAGTGTCTGAACTCTTTGATGTACAATAATTTCCTTTGAGGTCTTTGGAAAATTGCAAGAGAAATGTATCACTAATTCCAGTTATAACTTACACAGCATTGTTTAAATGAAGAAAACTGGCATACTTTGGGAAAGAGCGTAGACCTTTATTTAAATGATTATGTTATGTGGGATACAATAGCAAGATGATTTTCTTACTAAACTACTGATTTATGTCTTGTGATAGGAAATAATTAAAAGTTAAAAAGTACCAATGAATGTATATGTTCCTGAGCTTTGGCTGGAATCCTGACAATTTCCCCCCCTTAAATCTTGGAGAAAAAAGTCAGGAAGCAGAGCCTAAGCATTGAGAGAAGCTGCCTGACATCAGAACTGGTTATTGCTTGGCAGCTGAGAAGGAAACATACATAGGAGGGGGTGTTCATGGTAGTGAAGAGATGGAAAAGAAAAAACATACACTGCATAAATATAAAACCGTAGGAGAAAACAATTGTCCAGCTTCCTGTTCAGGCCCTAGAGCATCTCACAGGCTTCAGATCTGGGAAATACATATAGATGTAAATTTGATTTTTTTCCATGTAATTATTTTGTCCCATCATAAGACATAAAGCAGATGTTCAGTAAGAAAAATCATCTTTTATTGTATCCCATATAAAGTCATCATTATATAAAGTGTTCATAAACACACACGTGTGTGTGTGTGTGTGTGTGTGTGCAAGTTAAATGTGTGTGTGTGAGATATATAAAGATTTTCAAGAAGAATTTCTTAAGTCAGACCCCAGTCCAGCAAGCTTTATGCTATGTATGTGGGTAGTCCCTTTAAAATCAATGGACCTACTTATGTAAATAGCTGTCTGCAGGATCAGGGCCTAAGTGACCAGATTTTCAGATGTGCTGAGAGCCCCGGGGGTTCCCACTGAAGCCAAAACGATCTCCTAGCGTTCAGGCACATATTTAGGAATCTAATTGTAGGTTCCCATTTTTAAAATCTTGGCTACGTATATTAGAGGTGATACATCTAGCATAAGGTTGCCAGTACTTTCTATTGTAAAACCTTGTTTTCAGATCCTGATGACTTTGCCAGACTTTAACCATTTGAGCTAAATATATATAATGTTGAAAAATGTATACAAAAATTTCACTGTAAAGCTGTAGTGCTTCCATACTGTGGATCAAGGACTTGAAATGTGCGAGGGGTATGGTCCCTTGGTGACTGGGATCTCTCTCTTCCCCCCTCCCTTCCCTGTGGAAATCCACCCAAATTTAGCCAAATTATGACCTTCTGTAAACCTCAGTTCACACATGCTCAATAAAGACTTGTTAGAGTTTGGCAGATAATTTTTCCAAAGACACCATTTGCACTGAGGATGCTCCAGCCAGAGGACTTTCCCTGAAAAGGTTTATCCTGGAAGCCAGGGCCTGCTGTGGTGCTGGGCCGAAGAACTGAGAGGAGAAAGACGATTCTCACTGGTGCCAAGGCAATGGAGAAGAGAAGGTGAAAACAGCCTGTATGGAATGCACAGGTATTAGGAGCACGGTAAAGGGTGAGAATTGGAAAGGGTTTTGGTGTAGGATGGAGACTAGGACAAGGAACTGAGAGTGGGAGTAAGGGTATGTCTACACTACAGAATAAGGTTGAATTTATAGAAGTCGGTTTTTTAGAAATCGGTTTTATATATTCGAGTGTGGGTGTCCCCATAGAAAATGCTCCAAGTGCATTAACTCAGTGGAGTGCTTCCACAGTACCGAGGCAAGCGTCGACTTCCGGAGCATTGCACTGTGGGTAGCTATCCCACAGTTCCCGCAGTCTCCACTGCCCATTGGAATTCTGGGTTGAGATCCCAATGCCTGATGGGGCTAAAACATTGTCGCGGGTGGTTTTGGGTACATATCATCACGCCCCCATTCCCTCCCTCCCTCCGTGAAAGCAGCAGCAGACAATTGTTTCGCGCCTTTTTTCCTGAGTTACCTGTGCAGACGCCATACCACGGCAAGCATGGAGCCCGCTCAGATAACCATCACCGTATGTCTCCTGGGTGCTGGCAGACATGGTACTGCATTGCTACACAGTAGCAGCAACCCATTGCCTTCTGGCAGCAGACGGTGCAATACGACTGGTAGCCGTCATCGTCATGTCCGAGGTGCTCCTAGCCACGTCGGCTGGGAGCGCCTGGGCAGACATGGCCGCAGGGACTAAATTTGGAGTGACTTGACCAGGTCATTCTCTTTAGTCCTGCAGTCAGTCCTATTGAACCGTCTTATGGTGAGCAGGCAGGCGATACGGATTGCTAGCAGTCGTACTGTACCATCTTCTGCCGGGCAGGCAAGAGATGAGGATGGATAGCAGTCATATTGCACCATCTTCTGCCGGGCAGGCAAGAGATGAGGATAGCTAGCAGTCGTACTGTACCATCTTCTGCCGAGCAGCCATGAGATGTGGATGGCATGCAGTCCTTCTGCACCGTCTGCTGCCAGCCAAAGATGTAAAAGATAGATGGAGTGGATCAAAACAAGAAATAGACCAGATTTGTTTTGTACTCATTTGCGTCCCCCCCCCCACGCCTGTCTAGGGGACTCATTCCTCTAGGTCACACTGCAGTCACTCACAGAGAAGGTGCAGTGAGGTAAATATAGCCATGTATCAATCAGAGGCCAGACTAACCTCCTTGTTCCAATAAGAACAATAACTTAGGTGCACCATTTCTTATTGGAACGCTCCGTGAAGTCCTGCCTGAAATACTCCTTGATGTAAAGCCACCCCCTTTGTTGATTTTAGCTCCCTGAAGCCAACCCTGTAAGCCATGTCGTCAGTAGCCCCTCCCTCCGTCAGAGCAATGGCAGACAATTGTTCTGCGCCTTTTTTCTGTGTGGACGCCATACCAAGGCAAGCATGGAGGCCGCTCAGCTCACTTTGGCAATTAGGAGCACATTAAACACCACACGCATTATCCAGCAGTATATGCAGCACCGGAACCTGGCAGAGCGATACCGGGCGAGGAGGCGACGTCAGCACGGTCATGTGAGTGATCAGGACATGGACACAGATTTCTCTGAAAGCATGGGCCCTGCCAATGCATGCATCATGGTGCTAATGGGGCAGGTTCATGCTGTGGAACGCCAATTCTGGGCTCGGGAAACAAGCACAGACTGGTGGGACCACATAGTGTTGCAGGTCTGGGACGATTCCCAGTGCCTGCGAAACTTTCGCATGCGTAAGGGCACTTTCGTGGAACTTTGTGACTTGCTTTCCCCTGCCCTGAAGCACATGAATACCAAGATGAGAGCAGCCCTCACAGTCGAGAAGCGAGTGGCGATAGCCCTGTGGAAGCTTGCAACGCCAGACAGCTACTGGTCGGTCGGGAATCAATTTGGAGTGGGCAAATCTACTGTTGGGGCTGCTGTGATGCAAGTAGCCCACGCAATCAAAGATCTGCTATATCAAGGGTAGTGACCCTGGGAAATGTGCAGGTCATAGTGGATGGCTTTGCTGCAATGGGATTCCCTAACTGTGGTGAAGCCATAGACGGAACCCATATCCCTATCTTGGCACCGGAGCACCAAGCCGGCGAGTACATAAACCGCAAGGGGTACTTTTCAATAGTGCTGCAAGCTCTGGTGGATCACAAGGGACGTTTCACCAACATCAACGTGGGATGGCCGGGAAAGGTACATGACACTCGCATCTTCAGGAACTCTGGTCTGTTTCAAAAGCTGCAGGAAGGGACTTTATTCCCAGACCAGAAAATAACTGTTGGGGACATTGAAATGCCTATATGTATCCTTGGGGACCCAGCCTACCCCTTAATGCCATGGCTCATGAAGCCGTACACAGGTAGCCTGGACAGTAGTCAGGAGCTGTTCAACTACAGGCTGAGCAAGTGCAGAATGGTGGTAGAATGTGCATTTGGACGTTTAAAGGCACGCTGGCGCAGTTTATTGACTCGCTTAGACCTCAGTGAAACCAATATTCCCACTGTTATTACTGCTTGCTGTGTGCTCCACAATATCTGTGAGAGTAAGGGGGAGATGTTTATGGCGGGGTGGGAGGTTGAGGCAAATCGCCTGGCTGCTGGTTACGCGCAGCCAGACACCAGGGCGGTTAGAAGAGCACAGGAGGGTGCGGTACGCATCAGAGAAGCTTTGAAAACCAGTTTCATGACTGGCCAGGCTATGGTGTGAATGTTCTCTTTGTTTCTCCTTGATGAAATCCCCCGCCCCTTGGTTCACTCTCTTGCAAGCTTACCACCCTCCCCTCCTCCCTTTAATCATTGCTTGCAGAGGCAATAAAGTCATTGTTGCTTCACATTCATGTATTCTTTATTCATTCATCACACAAATAGGGGGATGACTACCAAGGTAGCCCAGGAGGGGTGGTGGAGGAGGGAAGGAAAATGCCACACAGCACTTTAAAAGTTTACAACTTTAAAATTTATTGAATGCCAGCCTTCTTTTTTTGGGGCAATCCTCTGTGGTGGAGTGGCTGGTTGGCCGGTGGCCCCCCCACCACGTTCTTGGGCGTCTGGGTGTGGAGGCTATGGAACTTGGGGAAGAGGGCGGATGGTTACACAGGGGCTGTAGTGGCAATCTGTGCTCCAGCTGCCTTTGCTGCAGCGCAACCATACACTGGAGCATACTGGTTTGGTCCTGCAGCAGCCTCAGCATTGAATCCTGCCTCCTCTCATCATGCTGCCGCCACATTTGAGCTTCAGCCCTGTCTTCAGCCCGCCACTTACTCTCTTCAGCCCTCCACCTCTCCTCCCGGTCATTTTGTGCTTTCCTGCACTCTGACATTATTTGCCTCCACGCATTCGTCTGTGCTCTGTCAGTGTGGGAGGACAGCATGAGCTCAGAGAACATTTCATCACAAGTGCGTTTTTTTTTTCTAATCTTCACTAGCCTCTGGGAAGGAGAAGATCCTGTGATCATTGAAACACATGCAGCTGGTGGAGGAAAAAAAAAAGGGACAGCGGTATTTAAAAAGACACATTTTATAAAACAGTGGCTACACTCTTTCAGGGTAAACCTTGCTGTTAATATTACATACATAGCACATGTGCTTTCGTTACAAGGTCACATTTTGCCTCCCCCCACTGCGTGGCTACCCCCTCAACCCTTTCCCCTGCCCGTGGCTAACAGCGGGGAACATTTCTGTTCAGCCTCAGGCAAACAGCTCAGCAGGAACGGGTTCCTCTGAATGTCCCCTGAAGAAAAGGACCCTATTTCAACCAGGTGACCATGAATGATATCTCACTCTCCTGAGGATAACACAGAGAGATAAAGAACGGATGTTGTTTGAACGCCAGCAAACATACACTGCAATGCTTTGTTGTACAATATTCCCGAGTACGTGTTACTGGCCTGGAGTGGTAAAGTGTCCTACCATGAAGGACGCAATAAGGCTGCCCTCCCCAGAAACCTTTTGCAAAGGCTTTGGGAGTACATCCAGGAGAGCCGCGAATGCTAGGGCAAATTAATCCTTTCACATGCTTGCTTTTAAACCATGTATAGTATTTTAAAAGGTACACTCACCGGAGGTCCCTTCTCCACCTGCCGGGTCCAGGAGGCAGCTTTGGGTGGGTTCGGGGGGTACTGGCTCCAGGTCCAGGGTGAGAAACAGTTCCTGGCTGTCAGGAAAACCGGTTTCTCCACTTGCTTGCTCTGAGCTATCTACAACCTCCTCCTCCTCATCATCATCTTCTTCATCCCCAAAGACCTGCTTCCGTGTTGCCTCCATCTCCATTGAGGGAGTCAAACAACACGGCTGGGGTAGTGGTGGCTGAACCCCCTAAAACGGCATGCAGCTCATCATAGAAGCGGCATGTTTGGGGCTCTGACCCGGAGCGGCAGTTCGCCCCTCTGGTTTTCTGGTAGGCTTGCCTCAGCTCCTTAAGTTTCACGTGGCACTGCTTCAGATCCCTGTTATGGCCTCTGTCCTTCATGCCCTGGGAGATTTTGACAAAGGTTTTGGCATTTCGAAAACTGGAATGGAGTTCTGATAGCACGGATTCCTCTCCCCATATAGCGATCAGATTCCGTACCTCCCGTTCAGTCAATGCTGGAGCTCTTTTGCAATTCTGGGACTCCATCATGGTCACCTGTGCTGATGAGCTCTGCATGGTCACCTGCAGCTTGCCACGCTGGCCAAACAGGAAATGAGATTCAAAAGTTCGCAGTTCTTTTCCTGTCTACCTGGCCAGTGCATCTGAGTTGAGAGTGCTGTCCAGAGCGGTCACAATGGAGCACTCTGGGATAGCTCCCGGAGGCCAATACCGTCAAATTGTGTCCACAGTACCCCAAATTCAACCCGGCAAGGCCGATTTAAGCGCTAATCCACTTGTCAGGGGTGGAGTACGGAAATCGATTTTAAGACCCCTTTAAGTCGAACGAAAGGGCTTCATCGTGTGGACGGGTGCAGGTTTACATCGATTTAACGCTGCTAAATTCGACCTAAAGTCCTAGTGTAGACCAGAGCTAAGAGATGAGGACTGGAATAAAGGGGTCTGGGGCAATGTGGGATTGGGACAAGGAGCCAAGGGGCCTGGTGACAGAATGATCTGTAACCATTAGAGAACACTTCCCTCAGAACCTGAAATGAAATCCCAAATTCCTGAGTCTTACCATCTCTTTGCTATCAGCAAATAGCTGTGAAATCCACTGGCAAAGTATTTGCCTCATCTTCCTCTAGTGACTGGCCACACAGAGAATGGCAACCTACTATTGCTAACAATTGCTCTGTTAGCTCAAATAGCAGAGCTCTGTGTTTGGCTCTAGATTCAAACCTTACTGATTAATCATGTTGGGAGTTAATGTGTTTCTATATGATAGATTTTTTCTTTTTTGTTTGCTTTTTTAAAATCTAGGATATTACACAAAAAAACTGAATGAGGCAGGGTTGCTTTAGAGAAACAATAGCATATGATCATGTAATTAAAGACTGTGTCATAATGCATATGCACAACAGGGGCAAATTATGGTTGCACAAGCAACCTTAATTCTGACATTTCCTAACTTTCAGGGGCTTGACTTTACAGCTTTATCATGCTCTCTGCTCCGTTTCTATGCCCAGTTATATACATATATTTGTAACCTTCAAATCCAACATACTACTATTAAACATATACTTTCTTTATCCCTTTTATTCCCACAGGGTCAAATGAATGGGAATGGCTACTTTTCTACATTGTGCCTTGGGGAAACAACACATAATGAATGAACAGATTAGGTTTTCAGAGTTCAATCATTCACAAAATTAAAAGCAGAGTATTGCCTTATGCTTTGATGTATTTCAGTTGTTTCACATTGCTTCAAGTTGGAACTTTTTTTCTTTTTTGTTATTTTTACAAATCTGTCTGCTGCTAAAACTTTGAAGCAATTCCCAGCTTGTGGTAGAGGAACTGAGATCTGACCGTATGCTATAAAAGAGAAATTCTTTCACATTTGGATTTTCAGGAGGGTTTGTAGCTCCTTGAGCCCCATAACCTACCTCACCAATGAATTCCTTTTGGCTGCAGTGGCATCTGTTGGTGAGGGCAGAGCTGATTAACTGCAGGCTTGGCTTCAGTGATGGAAATTAGCCCACAAGCTGCTTCTACATACAGCAGATGTTTCCTTTCTCTCCCCACCATTATGTTTTTGTACTAGTGGAAACATTTGGATGAGTTAATATAGTCTTTGTTCACACAAATAAATTAAATGATTTAATCTGGAAATCTACCATTGCCACCCATTAAAGTGCCTACTTGACCACAGGGCCAGGTCCGTTAATCACTAATATCCATAAGCATGGTGACAGTTCCTTCTGACAAAACATAAACAATCATCTGTACAATAAAAACTTTTTTCCCCTCCAGAAACAAGTATCTTTCTCCCAAACTTATTTAGTGAGCACAGTACACTACTTGTCGTCTTTCCTGGCTGTAGATCTCTGTAATGTGTCAATGGTGAAGATTCATGAAAAGAAATGCTTTCTTCTAACACTGGAGCTTTATTACAATAAGGAAAATAATATCCTTAAAGCTATACACATTGTCTCTGTTCCTTGCTGAGTGTCTTCCATAGATTCCTCTTGCCTGGCTTCCAGCCACATAGTTAAAGAAACAGAACTCCCACCAGTCCATATGTATCTAATAGAGATAGTTAATATATATATATCACAAGAAAATTTAAACTAATATAGCTTCATTTAAAATTTCAGTTTTCCATGGGAAGTTTTAATGTGAAAAAATGCAAATGTTTTTGTTTATATGTAAATTGACATTTTGTTTCAGCTTTTGAAACCAGAAATTATTGGTTTTCCACTTTTGAATTTTGAATGTTTGAGTCTTTCCTTTAACTGGGGGTGGCAGGGTGGGGAGAAAATTTACAAAAGGAGCAAAAGGAGGCTGGAACTCTGAAAATCCACAAACTAAAAATAGAGAGGAATTTTTTAAAAAGTGGTATGCCATAACCCCACCTTTAGAAATTTAGGCTCTGATCCTGCAAAGATTTAAGCGTATGTTTAACTTTAAGTAGGTAATAGTTCTCACACTGGGATATTGCAAGGAAGGGCTAAGGTGTGTAACATATCACTAGATAAGTCAAGGTGTAAGCACAAGTTCTCAGTGGAACTAATCATATGCTTAAAGTTAAGCATGGGTATGAATTTCTAGCATTAGGGATTTACTGATTTTTCATTTGAAGCAACTCTGAGCTCCTTATAGTTATGCATACTAAAAACCAACATTTATAAAATATTTTTCTCCTTATTGCTTATTTTTTTAGGCAGAATGCATTAGATATGTCAGTGCACAGAAAAAAAATCCTCATAATTCTACTTTTGTTTCTAATAAGTTCCATTTTACATGTAAAGTTCTCCATAATTCCAATGGAATTCTTGAGTAAAACTCTGCAACCTATTATTTGTTTAGAAACATCTTGTCAGTTCAAACCCCTTTTCTCTTTATGAAAGAGAAATGCATTCTTCATCTCTGATATGTTTTCAATAGGAATGAGGAAGGGGAATGTTGTATTTGTGAAAGTATATTATGGAAAGATATTATAAGGGGTTATCTAGTTTTATGTAAACAAATCCCAGTAGCACATTGTCCTATATAATCAAACTATAATAATATAAAGTCCTGTCACCATCATCAACAAAATCAGGTAGTAGCAGGAAAAAATCAGGAATATGTTACAAGTCTGTTTAAAATTTCACCTTTGTATCTCATTCCTTAACATATCTGGGTCAAAACTCAGTAATTACAAATGAATGTAGCTCTACTGATTTCTGTGGAGTTATATGTCCGTCTGTACTGGGTTAGGATCTGCTCATACACTTTATATTCTTTTTCCTAAAATTTTAGTTAACATGAGGGAGAATTTCTTGGTTCTGTACTGACACAATAAGATGGAGGAATTCATACAATATTTTAGGGAGATAGTTAATGTGTTTGTGTTCTTCTGCCCTCTTCTGAATAGAATCACAATAGCTGTTCTGTTTTCCATAGTTCACATAGTTACTAGTCCCTATTTTACTACTAGCTAACTTTAGATCAAGTAGTAAGGATCTAGCTGCTAGCTCCTAGTATCTCTGATGAGCTGCCCATAATATAAGTGAGGCACTGCATTCTCCTCTAGCTTCAGCTTCCGGGTGATCTCATGTGTAGACCCACACAGAGGAGATCACACTAGTCTAGTCTTTCATCAACAAAGGCATAAATAACTGCAGCAAAGGAGAGAGAGAGAGAGAAATGGTCATTTTTCTTTTGCCATGTGCATATGACCATCTCATAGCCACAGATGCTACCGGCGCATCTAGGATCAGCAGAGGCATTTATAAGACCCCTAAATTATGAAACTTCATTACAAATGGTAGCCATACTTCCTCAATCAGGAGTCTAGATAAAACCTTCACCAAGTCATCCAGATGATTCCCTCCCAACCTATCATCACTACTTCCTCC